AACGGAAATGGTGGCTTGAATGCGTTGATAAAATGAACTCCAGGAATGGTCTGGCCCCGGGTCTGGCTTGATCGGGGCTTGGTAGCGTGCGTCGCACCGTGTCGGCGCGTCATCTGTTTATCACATTATCTCGTGTCGGTGAGCATTCGTTCTAAACAGTCGTACATTTCCAAACAGCGGAAGATTGACAGTTTAATAAACACCGCCATCCATCATTAAGCAGTGCTCTTGCTTTACACGTGTATGTCAATATTGCACTGGCAATATCCGCATGCTTTCGATGGCCAGTTTCTTGAAAGACTTGCTTACACGTCGTCAGCTGTTGGTGTGAATGGGGTGGGTACGGTGAGAATCCCGGGTGGGAATACAACTCGCCTTACGACAGCTCTTTCCGTTGTTAGCCCCATGCCGTAATTAAGGGAGTTAACATGATGATTACGTTTTTGAATTATTTTTCAACCTGTAGTGAAATGGCAACATGCAAAATTGTTATCATTCTGTTAGTCCATGAGGGGCGTAACCTCCACAACACTTTCACATTGTTTTTGTGCAGAACAAAATTTCACGATTTTAGATGCTTTGCCTTTAATTTGCATAATTTGATCAACATCATATATAATCTACAATTTTATATCTTATATTTTCACACACACAATCAACATATGATACATTAAAAATGGGCTTAATGTGTAGAGTAGGAAAAAAAATGGCATTGGTCCTGAATTTTTTTAATTTCACAGATTTTAATGTCAAAAATTATAAATTTTTGAAGATCTTTTCAAATTGAAATTTATGACTGATTTATTGAGATAGATGTTTTTAATGTTGAATACAAAACCGAAATAATGCAAATTTGTTGAGATGTATGAATTTTAGTAATTTGCCCCTCCCCTGATTCAGTATTTGCTTTTCGGTATTTTTAATACTCTTTCACATAAAATACTATACCACATTGCAACCAAAATATAAGCATGTGGTATATCATGTTCAAGAGCTTGATGTGTAGAATGTGATATTGGTCAGATTTTAATAAAACATTTTAATTTTAATTACTTTATATTCACTTGGAATTAATTTTCGCTGAAAGAATGATTAAGTGAAAATAAAATCCAGCGAATATACCTTTTTTCCTATATTTTACATTCAACTCGTCAAAAATCAGTAAAAATTAATCCCATACAAAACACCCAAAAGTCTTTTCAGCGAAAATTAATTCCAGCGAAAATAAAGTATTTTACAGTACATGTATTATGTGAGTGTTAGAAATGGTGAAACCAGGCTTACCACTTAACAAACAAGGATGACGGAATCCAGCACAGATCGATAATAATAGGTTTAAATTAATACAAATCTTAGAAAATTGGAGAAACTGCACACGGCATACCCGTGGTGAAAGAGAACAAGAGAACACAGTAGTGTCAATAAAATTAGCATAAAGGGCACACAAAATGATAATATCACGTGCATAAGATAAAATAATAATTTAATTAATGAGAATTTGCAACAAGTATTGGTAATTAGACCAAATACTAATTAAAAAGTTTAGTTAGCGACTTGTGTATAAGTATGGGCAAAATATTAACGTACCAAACACGTAATATGTGTGAATGTATGTAATATATTATCCACTAGACTTGTCTAGGTGTGGCAATTTTATAACCTTTTTGATATGCAGTGATGGTATGAAACTTGGGAGTGGAAAACTTTCAGGAAAGTACACGTGTGCTTGTCAGGTCACGCATGGGTTATAGTTGGATCAAAAGCTGCCGTCTCATTGGTTGGTAACTTACAATTCATGCTACCATTAGCATATTTATCCCCTCACTAAAGCGATGACAAATATAGAGGGCGCTGGCAGAACAGACCAGTCTTGGAAGTTTCATTTTCAGTAATCATATAAAATAATAAGATTGCCATGACTTGGCAGGACTAATTATCCGTCTCAGTGTACACAATAAATTAATAGTATGAAAGTAACATGAGGTTAATACGAGGATACTGCAAAGTATGCAAGAAGACAGTACAGCAGAAGTATTGACCGATGCGCAGCAGAAGTTGATGTGACGTCGTACTGTCCGAGTGCATACTTTGAGGTATAACCTTATTATTATACATCTTTTCCTTCCAAGGATACATCATGGGAATGCTGAAATCCAAAAAGTTTAAAACAGAATCAGGGAACTTTTTTATGTGGAGTCCGGTCAAACCCTGGGGGGCTGCCATGTTTGTTTTTATTATTAAAGGAT